TAAACGCCAGATGAAATATACGAAAAATATACGAAAAAAAGCTCGAAATGATAGCAGATATCGATCCTTATAATGTAACCAACCAGTTTTTCACCGATTCGATGGAAATGTGGCCCGATGTCGAATACATCGATATGGTAAATTTCCTGCTGCTATCGACGATTACTACACTCAAGAGCAAGTTAAAGCTTATAAAAGCCTCGAGGCATACCAGTTTTTTGTCGCGGACTGGGTCAGATGTATATTCATAGGAAAAGCAACAGATGATGTGAAAATTCTCATCGGAAAGGTACGCATTTTTCGTTTAAGTTCGGTACTCGATATGGTCACTACAATTCAAGTCGTTTCTAAACTTAATGTGTGTTTATCAATGTTTCCCTTCAGGTTAATCATTCACAGAGACTAACCGATACTGCTGTAGAGCCATGGTTTGCGGCTAAAAGCGATGGAACAATTCTAACAGACAATTGCAACTGTATGGCGGGTTTGGGCAAAGTATGCTCACATGTTGGAGCGATGTTGTTTGCTGTCGAAGCCGGAGTTCCTTCCAAAGAATGTCAACTTACCAGAACCACTGACTAGACTTTATAAAATGAAGAGGAACTGTCCGCAATGGACCTTGAAGGGTTAGTCGAAAAATCAAAGGAAATCTTCAACTCATTAAAAGTTACTGAGGAACAATCTGTGCAAATCGAAGAAACAACACGACAGCAAAGCAAGTCAAAGTTGTGGTTTGAGATGAGGTGTGGTCGAATAACAGCAAGCAAATCTCCTCAAGCTTGCCATACCAATCCTGATACACTCTCTGTCAGCTTGATTAATGTTATCTGCTATGGATCTCATTTCTCCTCAGATGCAACAAAGTGGGACTGTGATCATGAAAAACAGGCATTAAAGGAGTATGAGCAGGTAAATATCAAAAATATTTTATATTTTGTCAACCTGAGTTCCCCTACTTATCTATATATTGTTATTAAAAACTAGATCATTGGATAATGCAATTCAAGACTTTTTATTGGCTTAGCCATTATGGTATATCAGCCAATATACCATAATCTACAAATATGGTAAGCGTACGTGTCAGCTTAAAATCAAAAGGGAGCTAAAAATTTAATAAAATTTAATAATTTAATTTAACGTTTTTAATAAAACAATTATTCCACTCGCGCTTGTTGGATATGAGATGATTATAGCCAACTCGGTGCTACGCGCCTCGTTGGCTATCTATCATCTCATATCCAACGCGCGCTCGAAGAATAATTGTTAATTATTGTACAGGTTATGCAAAGCAAACATGAAAACTTCCACATAAAGGAGTATGGTTTGGTTGTCAGTCCCCAGTACCCTCACCTTGGTGCATCCCCAGATTCCATGTCGTTATGTACTTGTTGTGGCCAAGGCGTTCTAGAAGTGAAGTGCCCATCTAGCATCAAAAGTTCCAAGATTCCAGATGCCATTCATGGAAACAGGGATTTTTACGTGGAAGAGACGTGATGGCGAGTTCCAGCTCAAGCGAACCCATCCATACTTTGCAAAAGTGCAACTCCAACTTGCATTGACTTCTACTGAGTTTACTGATTTTATTGTTTGGACACAACTAGGCATACATATAGAGCGAATTACAGCTGACAGCCAATTCACTGAGAGTCACCTGGAAAAGGCTAAGAAGTTTTACCTCTGTGGCATTCTTCCAGAGCTTCTGGTATTTCACTAGGCCCAAGAGAAATGATGATGTTTTGTATTGCTTTTGTAGAGTTAAATTTGAGGATTCTCTGGTAATCAGTTGTACTAATAACAGGTGCTTATTTCGCAAATTCCACACAAAATGCTGTGGACTATCTAAGAAATCATCTATTAAGACATGGCTTTGTTCAGACTGCAGGAGATTGAAAGTAGCAGAATCAAGACAGCATTGATGAACAATAGTTTATTGGTTTTATTTGTATACTTTATTTATTAATATTCAAAATTTTAAATACTTTGTATGTAGTAATGACAAATGCAAATATTTTGTAATATGTTATTATTAAACCATTGAAAATTTTGTTATTTACTGACACAAAAGTAGATTAGTGAAACATTTCTATATCACTGAAACAAATTTTTGTTCAGAGTGAAACCCAGGGGCTACTGAGTGGGTCCGGGAGATTTTCTTTCCTCTTTTCCAAAGTCTCCCTGGCCCCACTCAGTAGCCCCTGGGTTCCCGAAGATGAATGAAAACACAAAATGTGTGGTTAATCTGAATCAATCTAATCCAATGTCATTCAATGACTCCCTCTGCCTTATTGTTATAATATTACATTTTGCATACCATACATTTAGTGACTTTTTTATTAACTGATTTCAATCTGGTGGAACAACTGACTTACAAATAGTAGTCAAGGCACAACAAACAAATGCTATTTTATCAAGTAAACAGGGTTCTCCATCATTCTCTGTTTTAACATAATCAATTTGAATTATACCATGTTCTAAGATGGAATACTTCTGTCGCACGCAGCCAATCACTCTTTCCACATGTATCCTGACATTCGCTATAGTTCGTGTGGTTTCAATATCCAATGGGGCTAGTTATCGTTTTCCTCTAGTGAAGGCTGGAATCTTTAATCTAGCAGCATAAAGTCCACAGCTGTCTTCAATGTCGACGCTTCAATCAGCAAGGACCAAGTCTCCAGTAGGTTTTCAGTATCAAGTAGGTTTTCTAAGATCCCACAGTGCTCTGTAATAAAATTATCAGAGGTCCTTCCTCCCCATCCTTTGGAAATAAATGAAACAGTTCCTTGAGGGGTTATCCCAATCAAGAATTTGGCAGTATTGTGATGCTTATACGAGGACCATGTTTTTGCACGGGCCAACAAATCAGATGGATGGTCTATGAAGACTTGGAAGCAGTCAATTATCACAGCACAGGATGAGAATTTTTGTCTTAAACTTGCAGGCATGGTTAGTTGTAATGCATCTCTGTCAGGCCAGTGTACAAGGAAATACATACTTGAGTACATTACTCCAATGCAACTTTGAAACACTCTTGATACTGTAGAAGCATGTTTGCCAAATCTATATCCAAATTGCTGAACATGCAAATTTCAACGAAGTCTCATTAATGTTATCAAGAGCTGTTGGAACTTGGTTAGTGAAGTACGGCATGGAAGTCCAGGACTAATGAGATCAAGTACAGCAAGGAACACAGACATAGTTGTCGAACCAGTGTAAAACTTGAGCTTTTCTTCGTCTTTCGCCAAGCTTTCTCTCGTTAATTCAGAGGCTAAATGGGCAGATTTTGCCTGTTTCTCGAGCAGTTCTAAGTCTATTAATGTCATATCAGTTTGAATCTCGATTGAAATTGTTTGTTTTGGTCTCGGTTCGTCAGAAACCGAACATACTTCTTCTTGTATTTCTTCGGGTCGAAGGTTGATCGATTCCACGGTACCGACACTTTCAACGACGTTTTCTTGCGTTATGTTTTCCAAGTGCTATTCTCTTTTTGACTGACAATCTTTCAAATCCACGTTTGTGGCGTTTGAGAGTGGATTCCTTCGAAGCACGACAGACAGATGCCGACGAGTGACCCATAGCAATTGAAGGTGCTCAGTCTGGATTAGCTTCTTCGTAAACTGCTGCTAGTTCTCCTAAAAGTAAACAGATAAGTGATAAGTTTAGAAAATAACATAACTATAGAGCATCTAGATTAATATTAAAAGATTCTTTTAATTTCATACCTTTGTGAAAGTGAACTGAGCAAACCAAAGGATTCTTGATCTCTCCGTTTGAGACGGCATCGCGACGAATGTTTGCAAGCCATTCATCTATCTCCTCTACGGCTTGATATTTCTCTTGTTTGGTCGCCTTTATTGCCTATGACTTTCGAAACATTGAAAAATCGTAAATTTTCATTCTTTTTCGAGCTATTTGAGCATCCTACTACACAGGAAAACTTCCCTATGTTGACAGTACGCTTGGATTGTGTTTTTTGGCCCCCTGTCGTGGCGGCGTAGTAACGGTGGCTAGGATGTCACGTGACCATGCAAAGCCTCTATAGTGCGATCTAAACGTGGAATATTATAACCAGGTATGACAATGGTATCGTCAGGAATTAAATCACTCAGCCATGTCTCAGTAAAATAATCAAAGTCGACGGAGGAATTAAGCACGGTATAACGAATTTCATCAATCTTTGGAGCAAGTGACATAGTATTAGAGAGCAGAAGAGCGGGAACATGAGCTGAAAGGCAACTCCGTTGATTTGAGTTAAAGCTGGAAGCTGGATTCGCGGTTGATGTTATTGCAGAAAAAGGTGTTGTTGCGAATATGTAACAAGTCCGTATGCAAATTGGTTATTTCACTGCCAGGGACACTAAAAGTGATGTTTTGAAAATTTGTAGATTCCCTTTCAAGGTCGACAGCTATAGAGTGTTGTTTTCTGGCACCGGCACGGTAACCACGTCTAGTAGGTGTTGTTCTTGTTAGCCGAAGTTGGGTAAGCGTCTTCCACAATGAAGAGTTCAATCGCTGTAGCTTTAACTTTGAAAAAGTAGCGTTCAGGGCAGGTCGAGAGTACGTGTGGGCCATTGCGAGACTAGCTGAAGAGAATTGATGTAAATAATAGGGCGTAGAGGCAGCAAAACCCAAGAAAAAATATATAAAATTCCTAAAAATTCCTAAAAATTCGGGAGCAAAGAGGGTTTGCTGCCTATCGGGCGCTCCCTCGTTTCTTCGCTTCTTCTTTCATCAGTAGATCTTGCTAGTTAGCTACAGAGATTTGGCAAGATCATTGAAAATTGTTCTGTGGTAAGAGGAATTATTTTCAATTTATACATAACTCCATAATTCCATAAAATGTCTTTGGATTAAAGAATTTAGTAAATGCCAGTCGACATCTGTAGTGATATCTATAAATCGGGTCGATGCAGTTGTCATCGATCTTGAAAATGTTACAGAAACAATAATTAATTCCTATAATATCCACTTTCAAGTAGAATAAAAAACATCGTTTAGCAAACCTGTTTCACAATGAGCGCCAGTGAATCCTTGTAAACATGTGCAGTTGTATCCATTACTTTGCTGGATACAGGCCCCTTCATTGTAACATGGATTTTGTTCACAGCCCAAAATTTCTGAATAGAAAAAAACTTTAAAACGCGCTTTAAGTGATTTAAGGGATGCTTTTTCTTTATTCGTGCTTCAGGAAAATGTTCTGCCGATATAGGAAGGCTTTTGCATCATAAGTCATTTTTGATGTTCATAACTGTGACAGTTATAAGGGTCAGGAGACAATCTCGAAGCCTTTATCCCTTTTAAAATCCTCCCGTTTGTCTTTGTAAATGGTGTGTCGTGTATCATAAAGCACTTCCCAATCGAGCCTGGTAAAGCCAAACCAACACAAAATAGACTTGCAGATCAGAAATAAACGTTTGACGTGACTAGAAGTCGGAGGAAAAGTAAAAGTGACACAGCTAACCGGCCTTAAGCACACTGAAAGCTTCTGTTACTGATCACCTCTAGAGAGCAATCCACGGGTGGAACATTTCCTGCTGAACCTTTTGAATACGGTGTACAGGGAAAAGTCAAACAAATTAACGTTAGTTTCCTTACCCACACAAATTTGACCATTTTCCTCGTAACCAGGTTTGCATTTACAGACAAATGATCCCACAGTATTATGGCATTCAGCATTAGCATCACATTCGTGAGTTTTCTTTGCACATTCGTCAATATCTAGAAAGCGAGTATCAACTTGAAATGCACATCTTTCGTAATTAACAAAAATATTGAAATAATGGTCAGTAATCACAAAACTCTTAGGAGCTTTTGAAAGCCATGGGTATGTTATAAACTAAAACAATCTCTTAACATCGATTACACAGATTGGTTCCAGAATATGGATCGCGTTTAATAAAGTTGGAGATAAAAACCGGTTCAAAGTGCGAGCACATCTTTACTTGCCTCACCTTGTTCACATTGGGATCCCGTAAATCCATCAGAACATATGCATCGATATCGCTTGTGTGTAAAACCGGATTGACAAATGGCGTTGTTCACGCAGGGAGCACGACCACAAGGATTCTGGAAAATGATAAATCGAAATTAACGAATATTACAAATGTGAGTCGATAAGAAATCCCGTAAGAATATAAGTAACTAATGTTTAAATAAGAAATGAAATCGTAAGAAAGAGTTAAGTAATCGGGTAAACAACTGAAGATATGTCGTGGAATCACCATTCTTAGGAATATTTTTACTGGACCAGGGAAACCTCTTCATTTGTTTTAATGTAGTGAACATCGTTACAAAGTGCAAAAGAAATGATTATTGAAAAAGATAAATGAAAAAGTGCGATAATAAGTAATCGCGTAAGCGTGTAAATAACTAAATTAAGAGATGGGTGAGTAAGCGTTTAAACAAATGGAAACTACTATAATAATAGCGCCATTGAAAGCAATTTTCTTGCTGGTCCAAGGGAGCCTGTTGATTTGGTTCCAAAATAGTAAACACTGTAACAGAGGTGAATGCATTAACAAACAGAGAAATTTCCTTCCAACTTAATGAGATAAACTTAAATGATTGCTAAAAGATACTGTATCCTTACTCTTGTTCCATGGTAAACAGGAAAAGTTAGGTAAGTGGACCTAGAATATCAACCACAACTGATTCAACTGAAGTTGGGACGTACTCTATTGGATTGGGAATGGATGTCTCCTCTGAAATGACCGGATGATTTTTTTCCAGTAGGTAAAAATTTTCCGCTTAAAAAGCGGAAAAAATCACAAAAATCTTCAACATTAAAGATGAACGTAAAGAAGAAAGTTAAAAACGTAAAATATATATGAATAACAATTGGAAGAGAAAAGCAAATAAATGGCATGATATGACAACTCGTAATAAAAGCTACGTAAAGGCAAAGTGACGTACTCTTACCATCCATGCAAGATAAAACATTCTTAATTAGCAAGAAAAAACCGAAGTGCAGAAGAAAACCCATGTAGGTGAGATCACCTTTCTAAACATGAATGGAGGCTGGTGAGAGTTTTTCCACAACCTGACGAAGTTCAAGTTTTAATTAGCACCAATAAGTTTCCTCACACGTATCCAATTAACAATTAAGGCTGTTTTAAAGGCGAACGTCATAACCAGCAGTTTCAGCCAATAGAAGCGTTGTTGATGTCCTGGTACTTAATTATGACTTATGGGAAAGTCGTTTTATTTGAGGTTTCTACAGAGAAGTCGTATGTCAGTGCAGGTTTACATTTCGCGGAAATTAGGAGACATTCAGTGCCAAGGTATCATTTCAGGGTTTAATTCTAATGGTTTTTACAAGACTGAAAATCGAATTTCCTTACTATTATTTATTTATGTATTGTTTGTGACTGACAGCGTGATATTTGTGATTCCTTGCGTAATTTCTTAATTTTTTGCGGTACACAATGCAGGATGAGGAGCAAAAAAGTGGTTCCAACGAGTAAGCTGGCTGCATTAAAGGAGCGTTTTCTAAGTTATTCCACAAATTTTGACTTACCGGCCTCTCTGACGATAGATTAACGTTGGCTTAACTTACACACAGCTGTCCTCAGGTAACATAATTAAAACTGAAACTTTAAACTTGAATTTTAAAAGCCTTTTGTGGCCACCTGCCTAAAATGAAACATTCTGTTTTGGCGAATTCATAATTTGTTTATTGTATTCATATGTAGGTCTTCTAGTTTTCGACCTCATTAATTTACGCTCATTCTTTTCGTTTTTTCACGTATCATTCATGTACCATCATTTTATCGCTATATTTTTTATGTTTCACGCCCCTTCTGGCAGTGTGTGGTTTTTTCCTCTCTGTAAAACCTCTTCGCTGCGAGCTTTTCGTCTCGTATCTTTATATTTTAATTTTTTCCATCTTATTTGTTAGTATATTTTGTTAAGATGTTTTTCTGCCTTTCGGGAGTTTACTTCTTCTCACGTGTACATTAAAAGAGTAGTAAATTGAGTGCTGAATAAAAGTGTGCTACTTTAGGCGGGCCCTAGCCTCTTCACATTCCTTCAAAATATTTCAGTTGTATATTGTATGTTACTAATCTATGTCATAACCTATGAAATAGAATAAAGATGTTTTTCTGCCTTTCGGGAGTTTACTTCTTCTCACGTGTACATTAAAAGAGTAGTAAATTGAGTGCTGAATAAAAGTGTGCTACTTTAGGCGGGCCCTAGCCTCTTCACATTCCTTCAAAATATTTCAGTTGTATATTGTATGTTACTAATCTATGTCATAACCTATGAAATAGAATAAAGAAAAAGGGGGTAAGGGAAGACGAATCACGTCCAATAACAAGAGAACCTAATTATCTTAATTCGGGGTTGGTAAGTCTATCTATTTCTCAAGTTCCCATCCGTGGGACTCCTTACCACCCCTAACAAGCCCCTAGATTTACCCCACTAAGTCAGAAATCCTCAGGTTCTAAGAGGTAGCAATCATTCCGAGGGTCCAATCATTAAAAGAGGTTTAAAGAAATATTACCATGGCAACAGGATATATAAAGACATCCTTTTACCCTGGAAAGATGATCATATGAGTCTCCTGAGCGAGGAGGGACCTGTAAAGAGCACTTTATTTCCTAACTTTCCTTAAAGCCTATTTGATTGAAACAACTAAAAAATTTACAGAGTAAAATCAGCCATGCGATTGGTTGAGCCTGAAATGACAGTCAGACCTCTTTCCTCTGATCGAGGCGGTCCTTAAATGAAATTAACAAACTTGCTGATATCCGAAATCGTTTTCTCAAGAGACGATAATAATCTCCTTCTTTTCTTTTTTGTCCATAGGTTTCTATGTTATTAAACAAAGTTATCAAGCTCTTGATCAGTCAGCTGTATCTTTTGGGTTAAATGGTTATTTTTTGCTAGGGTTTCGAACTCTTAATGTTAAAGAAAAAAAATTGGCTCTAAGTTTGCTAAGGGTTTTGTTTAATCGACCCCTTCCGGCAATAAATTTGTTGTCGGTATCCACAATTTTCGATTTATATTTTTCGCTAAAACTTTTGTCTCTCACTCGACGCTATGATCGTGGGTGGAGGGGTGCGATAGGAATACAAAGTTAGGAATACTAAGTTAGGAATACTAATCTACTACAGGCCGATAAATACTACTCGTATGTGTGACTCAAACCGGCTTTTTTCAATTCATTCTGCTCTACTCAAAAATTTCATTCAACACGATAACTTTGCATTTGCTCTATTGGCAAACAACAAAGCTGGATACAAGATATTTTCATCCCTGGAGTGTTTTCCGGCGGATGTTACAAAGGTCAAGAGGTGAAGCAAACAATGTACATTGGTGATGAACATTCTTTTCCTGTTGGAATGGCTCGGGTAAGACAACCCAGAGTGAATCCGAGTAAGTTTTTTTCTATTTTTTGCCGTTTAGTGACAAAGATATTTTTTACTTTCACACACACGTCATTTTATCTGTTATAGTCATGCAAATATCATTGAGTGTGATAGAGAAGCGACCACTGTCCGAACTTGAATGTAGAGTAAAATAAGTAGAATAATCTATTGACGTTTCGTGGAAAATATATGATAATAGTGATAAATGTCTCGGCTTTAAACCATTACAACTTATAGCTTTTAAATAAATTGCGTTTTTATGAACGATAAAGTTGCGTTTTGATAGACAATATTACTTTGCCCCCGCTACCATGAGGTTTCAAGCAAATTTTGATCTGCATAATAATTTACAATTATTCACCAATGCAAAGTGGAGGTAAATATTCACTACTCTCAAATTTTAAAAAATTAGTTTATTTCTCTCAATACACCAAAAAACGATCGGAAATTAAACTCGTGACGCGCGGTTTGTCTCTTTGGCTGCTCGGAGGTGAATAGTGCTTGCTAATCACCTCATAATTGGCAAATCAGCGGGTGCGAAAAGCACTATTCAATCGTGTGGTTTAAATTAACATCTATATTTCACCACATATTGACCCTTGCTCACCATAGAGTCTCCAGTAGCTCAGTGGTTAGAGCATCCGACTAGATCTCGGAGGGTCGTGGGTTCAAGTCCCATCTGGGGCTCGGATTTTTTCTATTACACTAAAAATTGTTTCATCTTTACATGCTCACTTTGGAGGTTGGTTGGCTGCATCTTGATATGCCTTAATGTGACAGCGTGATGCTGTTAGTGAGTTTTCACAGGTGCTTACCAATACTTGGCTGTGTAGCCGCGCGATGCGGTTCCAGTCGAGGCCCACAAATTGACCCTTGCTCACCATAGAGTCTCCAGTAGCTCAGTGGTTAGAGCATCCGACTAGATCACGGAGGGTCGTGGGTTCAAGTCCCATCTGGGGCTCGGATTTTTTCTATTACACTAAAAATTGTTTCATCTTTACATGCTCACTTTGGAGGTTGGTTGGCCGCATCTTGATATGCCTTAATGTGACAGCGTGATGCTGTTAGTGAGTTTTCACAGGTGCTTACCAATACTTGGCTGTGTAGCCGCGCGATGCGGTTCCAGTCGAGGCCCACAAATTGACCCTTGCTCACCATAGAGTCTCCAGTAGCTCAGTGGTTAGAGCATCCGACTAGATCACGGAGGGTCGTGGGTTCAAGTCCCATCTGGGGCTCGGATTTTTTCTATTACACTAAAAATTGTTTCATCTTTACATGCTCACTTTGGAGGTTGGTTGGCTGCATCTTGATATGCCTTAATGTGACAGCGTGATGCTGTTAGTGAGTTTTCACAGGTGCTTACCAATACTTGGCTGTGTAGCCGCGCGATGCGGTTCCAGTCGAGGCCCACAAATTGACCCTTGCTCACCATAGAGTCTCCAGTAGCTCAGTGGTTAGAGCATCCGACTAGATCACGGAGGGTCGTGGGTTCAAGTCCCATCTGGGGCTCGGATTTTTTCTATTACACTAAAAATTGTTTCATCTTTACATGCTCACTTTGGAGGTTGGTTGGCCGCATCTTGATATGCCTTAATGTGACAGCGTGATGCTGTTAGTGAGTTTTCACAGGTGCTTACCAATACTTGGCTGTGTAGCCGCGCGATGCGGTTCCAGTCGAGGCCCACAAATTGACCCTTGCTCACCATAGAGTCTCCAGTAGCTCAGTGGTTAGAGCATCCGACTAGATCACGGAGGGTCGTGGGTTCAAGTCCCATCTGGGGCTCGGATTTTTTCTATTACACTAAAAATTGTTTCATCTTTACATGCTCACTTTGGAGGTTGGTTGGCCGCATCTTGATATGCCTTAATGTGACAGCGTGATGCTGTTAGTGAGTTTTCACAGGTGCTTACCAATACTTGGCTGTGTAGCCGCGCGATGCGGTTCCAGTCGAGGCCCACAAATTGACCCTTGCTCACCATAGAGTCTCCAGTAGCTCAGTGGTTAGAGCATCCGACTAGATCACGGAGGGTCGTGGGTTCAAGTCCCATCTGGGGCTCGGATTTTTTCTATTACACTAAAAATTGTTTCATCTTTACATGCTCACTTTGGAGGTTGGTTGGCTGCATCTTGATATGCCTTAATGTGACAGCGTGATGCCGTTAGTGAGTTTTCACAGGTGCTTACCAATACTTGACTGTGTAGCCGCGCGATGCGGTTCCAGTCGAGGCCCACAAATTGACCCTTGCTCACCATAGAG